TCTCTGAATGCCGTTTATGTCATCGAGTGTTGATACTGATCGTCGCCTTCATAAGTCATAGATGGCTATCTATCTTTTTGTTGTATGTCGTTATATTTTAGAATGATGTTCCTGTATGGTTTGATCAACGTGCTTCTTGCTCCCCGGTTCAGTATGCTCCGTTTTCAAGAGTTGATTATCATTCATGGTCATCAACAGATACTGGCACTGGATCGTGGTCATCGAATTCATCAGTATGTCTCTCTCTCTCTCTCCTAAAACTCTGTCTATATGGTGAAATCGTTTGACTATTCACAGGGTTATTTATCTGCGAATGCTTTACCATGGCCTGAAAATTCTCTATCAACAAAAACGTCGACGAGTTCAAATTATTATGGGACCTTTTTATTAGGTTTTGATGATGAAACATCAGTTTCATGTTTTGGATCTCCGCATCCGACTACAACAAAATTAATAAGTCCCATTGCACGACCGAAGACAAGTCCGGTAAAAAATGTGAGTTTGTTTTCATTCGACAAGTTTATTCCTAGATCCATGGATAGTTTAAGCATTAGTGGTTATATCGAGAAAATTGTAATTTGCATTATAGTTTGAAGGATGTTTTAAGAGTTTTATTAAACAAAGAGCGCACCTTCAGCTTTGGGGAATTGCTAGGCTAATTAGTAGCTAACTTACGGTTACACACTAGGTAAGCCGAAATTAAGTAAGTATTGAGTGAGTTCACCTAGAGAAACCTCTGTTGCCTATTAATGCAAAACGTTATCTTTCTATATTTTATGTTAGCAGGATGTTGTTCGTGAACGAAGAATAGATGAGCGTCCATTGCGTTTGCATGTATCCAATATTCCGTTTTCTTGGACAAAAGAAAAATTGGCAACTGAATTTGAAGTGAGTGTTTTGTTCTTTTATAATAGCGTTCAATCATTTCTTTTTATTATCAGGCTTTTGGTACAACGTACGATGTTGAAGTTGTTTACAATGCACGAGGTTCAAAAGTAAGCATCAGAAATGAAATATCCAACATATAATTTTGTAACGA